CTGGGACTACAGGCGCCCGCCACCTCGCCCAGCTAGTTTTTTGTATTTTTAGTAGAGACGGGGTTTCACCGTGTTAGCCAGGATGGTCTCGATCTTCTGACCTCGTGATCCGCCCGTCTCGGCCTCCCAAAGTGCTGGGATTACAGGCTTGAGCCACCATGCCCAGCCTAATTTTTATATTTTTAGTAGAGATGGGGTTTTGCCATGTTGGCCAGGCTGGTCTGAAACTCTTGACCTGAGGTGATCCCCCCTCCTCGGCCTCCCAAAGTGCTGGAATTACAGGTGTGAGCCACTCCACCCAGCCCCTAGTTTCAAAACTCTTATCAACCCAGAACGCTTCCTACCCAGCTGACAATTCCTTAAACGTTTGCATTTTATTTATTTCTACCAGGTCATTCGTGCACGTGGTTCAAAATTCAAAAGATGCAGAAGGTGTGAAGGTAAATGTCCATTTTCCCCCCCAGCCCAGGCTCCCTGGCTCTGCTCCAAGGGCAAACAGCGCTACCTTGTGGATATTCCCAGAGATCATTTTGTGAAAATTCCAGTAAACAGGTGCACACATTTGTAGGGACCAGCCCCACAGGGTCAGTGGTTTTTCTCCCCATGTGCAGAGACAAGAGATTGTAGAAATAAAGACACAAGACAAAGAGAGAAAAGAAAAGACAGCTGGGCCCAGGGGACCTCTACCACCAAAACACGGAGACCAGTAGTGGCCCCGAATGCCAGGCTGCGCTGATATTTATTGGATACAAAACAAAGGGGCAGGATAAGGAGTGTGAGCCATCTCCAAAGATAGGTAAGGTCAAGTGGGTCACGTGTCCACTGGACAGGGGGCCCTTCCCTGCCTGGGAGCCGATGCAGAGAGAAAGAGAGGAGAGAGAGAGGAGACAGCCTATGTGCCATTATTTCTGCATATCAGAGACTTTTAGTACTTTCACTAATTTTGCTACTGCTACCTAGAAGGCAGAGCCAGGTGTACAGGATGGAACATGAAGGCGGACCAGTGTGACCACTGAAGCACAGCATCACAAGGAGATGTTAGGCCTCCGGATAACTGCGGGTGGGTCTGACGGATGTCAGGCCCTCCACAAGAAGGGGAGGACTACTGTCTTCTCTAAACTCCCCCCGGGAAAAGGAGACTCCCTTTCCCGGTCTGCTAAGTCGCGGGTGGTTTTCCTTGGCACTGACGCTACCACTAGACCACCGTCCGCTTGGCAACGGGCGTCTTCCCAGACGCTGGCGTTACTGCTAAACCAGGGAGCCCTCTGGTGGCCCTGCCCGGGCATAACAGAAGGCTCGCACTCTGGTCTTCCGGTCACTTCTCACTATGTCCCCTCAGCTCCTATCTCTGTATGGCCTGGTTTTTCCTAGGTTATGATTGTAGAGCGAGGATTATTATAATATTGGAGGAAAGAGTAATTGTTACAAACTAATGATTAATGATATTCATATACAATCATGTGTATGATCTAGATCTACTATCTCTCTTGTTGTTCTATATATTTTATTAGACTGGAACAGCTCGTGCCCTCGGTCTCTTGCCTCGGCACCTGGGTGACTTGCGCCCACACACATTGACATGCATGCAATTTTTTCTTTTACACAGATGGCTACACATCACACACTGGTGTCTCCTCCTCTTAACACTGTATCTCAGGGTGCGCAGCAAGCTGCCAAAGGTGTGACAGTCCAGGGCCTGCGGAGGGCTCTCCTGCACACTCAGGTGCAAAGGGTGCTCGTGCACAGCCTTGTCGTGTGGTCATCACATTGCATAAGGGCAAGTATGTCTGTGGGCTAAACCCCAGATGTGGGATTCCTGGGACAAGAACATGAAGCTCTAGCCTGTCTCCCCAGCACTTTGGGAGGCCAGGGTGAGATGATAGCTTCGGCCCAGGAGTTTGAGACCAGCCTGGGCAACATAGGGAGACTCCTGTCTCCAAAAAAAAAAAAAAAAAATTAAAACATTGGCTGGGGGTGGTGATGCACACCTCTGGTCCCAGCCACTCGGGAGGCCGAGGTAGGAGGATCGCTTAAACCTGGGAAGTCACAGCTGCAGTGAGCAGTGATTGTGCCAGTGCACTCCAGCCTGAGTGACAGAGCAAGACCCTGTTTCAAAAAAAAAAAAAAAATAGGCCAGACGCGGTGGCTCACGCCTGTAATCCCAGCACTTTGGGAGGCTGAGGCAGGCGGATCACTTGAGGTCAGAAGTTCAACACCAGCCTGGCCAACATGGTGAAATCCTGTCTCTACTAAAAATACAAGAATTAGCTGGGTGTGGGGGCACACACCTGTAATCCCAGCTACTTGGGAGGCTGCGGCAGGAGAATTGCTCGAACCCGGGAGGTGGAGGTTGCAGTGAGCCGAGATTGTGCCACGGCACTCCAGCTTGGGCGACAGAGCAAGACTCTGTCTCGAAACACACACACACACACACACACAC